ACCAGCGAGCCCGCAACGTCCCGCCAACACGGCACCCAGACCCCACGCAGCATTCTCATCTGTTTGTCATTACTGGTGTCATTTTCTGGTTGCTAACGCCATTGTAACACATAATCACTGATGTTCCACTGTAACGGTGGTTGACTCATCAGAACAGAGTGGGCGAGCTGACCAATCAGAGCACAATGGGCTCACAGGGAGGGGGGGGGGCAGGAGCTCCAACAAGCCGTTTAGGACAGAGAGTGAATACACATACTATACAGAGATGCTGTATGAGAAACCAATGTGAGTTTGGAACATTGAACAATGTAAATCTATTCTAGAAGACCTCAACAATGGAATGATGATCAGTAGAAATGGCCATGACATGGGACCTTTAATGCATGTCGGTGATCCTAAAAAAGCTTGTAACTATAGTTTTTTTATCAAACAAACACAAAATGGTACTTTTCTTGGGGACTACTTTCAGTGGTGGATTATCCACATTTGGTGCTCTTGTGAGTGTTTAGTGGCAGCAGGAATAATAATAAATTCCAGTGTGTGTGTTCATGGTAACAAAGGAACGTGTTACCTAGTGTAACAGTGAGGCTCACTGATCTGTTTTTGGGCAACAATAGATTTACATGGAACAGAGGAAGACCAGGATTTGATTACACCTTGTATGACAGTGGAGGTGGTGAAGTTGCCCACTGTGGTCCCACGGCTAGTAGATGGACGAGTCTCGGAACGCCAGTGAATGGCAAGATGACTGACTGGCGGGACGGAGGGCAGGACCTTGGGGTTCTCCCATTGGACAAGAAGGCCTTTCATAACCGGGAGAGAACTGGAAACCCACAAGCTGCTGACTGGCGGGAGAGCTGCAGAAATCCACCAAAGGATTATAAGTGATGGAGAAAACCAAGATTCTGTTGTAGTAGGATATGTTGCAAATCATCATTAATGCATTTAAGCGTTGGTGTAAAAGTGAGTTTGTGCACGCTCACTGTGAGCAGCGGAGTAATTCCTGGACAGGTTGTCTGTAAATCAATAATCTCAATAGCAAACTAAATATTCAAAATTCAATTTGTAACCATGCGTATAAGAGTTTACTGGCATCTTATCCAGTCTCGTGCCTTGCACAGCTCAGGAATTTAAAAACACATTTGAAACAAACAACAAAAATCTCTTGACAGGTTCATGATGACAGAGACCATTTGACTAGATAAGTGTTGTGTTGCAATAAGATGTATCTGAACATCATGACGCTGCTCTGTTGCTTCCTTCTCTGCAAGAAAACTCAAAAATATACACTCACTGACAGGATATTGCAAAAGTGGAAAGCCGCATCTTTATATCTGATCGTGTATGCAACTTTATGCAGATTTAACTTATATTACAGAATCCTTTGCTTCTTTGTGTACCTCAACATGAACCTTATATAAAAAACTAATTATTTACATGAAATAACCCTTGTGGTGCTCACCATTTTGTCTTTGTGTGTCAGTGCTAAGATGAGCAGCAGGTCCATAGCCAGCCGTGTTGAAAGCTGAAACTGTGACTCTGTAGTTCCCCTCCTTCACCACCAGGAGCGCCATTGACCCGGTGACATTTTGAGTGAATCTGTCCTGCGCCTGCTGATTCTTCACCAGCTTGTAGCTCACCTGGTATCCATGGATACGAACTCTGGTACCAGGGAGTTCGAGATGCTGCAGAGAGAAGGGGCGTAAGCACAAGACATGTTATGCCACATTTGTTTAGAGATTTGACAAGTCAGTATATTGTAAGTACACTTCAACATATTAGATATTGTAAGTTAGGGTTATATTTCTGTTAGTCAACCAAACTTTATACATTTCTTATGTGTCATGCATTTCAAATTAGTCAATCAATCTGCCTGTTTTTCTTTGCAATAACTAGCAACATTTACTAACATTACTGACAGATACTGACAAACACAGGGGATGCTGTGGCTCAGTGGGATGGTGCACTCGTATCAGGGGAGAGCAAATTTGAGTCCCGCTGCAGTCAGCATGTCGTTGTGTCCCTGAGCAAGACACTTCACCCCAAAATGGCTCCTGTGGGGATTGCCTACAGTATTGAATGTATGTAACCCTACGTCACCTCCACTGGCTCCCGGTCAAGTCCTGCATCACATAATATAAACTCCTCCTCATCACCATCAGTCCCTCCATTCCCTTTCCCCTCAGTACCTCATAGATCTTCTCCGCCCATACATCCCGTCCCGTACTCTTCCATCCTCAGACTCTGGCCTGCTTTCCATTCCCCATTCACGCCTCCACACTTTCGGGGACCGTGCTTTCAGTGTTGCTGCCCCAACCCTCTGGAACTCCCTCCCCGCTGAAATCTGTGATGCCCCTTCTCTGGACATCTTCAAGGGAACCCTGAAAACTAGTCTTTTAAAATAGCATTCCAACCTTAGTTACTCATCCCCCTGCCCTCACAAACTACATCACACATTGTAGTCTTCTTGTCTGTTTTCTTTGTAGTCCCATTGTGTTCTCTCCTAGAGTGTATTTAGTCCCGCCCCCCTCTTTGTAAAAGCATCCTTGAGTATATGAAAGGCGCTATATACATTTAAGTTATTATTATTAGTATTATTATTAAGCCACTTTGGATAAAGTGACATGTGTCACGAGTGACATGTAATGTAATGTGGTACGACGAAGCCAGTTCAACAGACCCTAGATATGAGTTACATGGCTTAACTAACCCTAACAAAAACAATCTCGCTAAGCGGTCTTACGACGCTGGTTATCAACTCGGCAAGTGAACCCAGGGTTTCTCTGTCCGGCTAAGAGCGCGTTCACGTGAAAGGGGCGGGGTTAGCAACATTTGATATGGAGATATGTACTGACCTTGCGTCATGAATGAAGAGTAATCTATCACATGAGACAAATATGAAAAGTTAAACTTTAAACATCCATGACTTCAACACTTAATCCAGGATAAAAGCAACAGGCAGCTGCAAAGAGCAGAAAGAATAGATGTTTCAAACTGTGAATGCTTAAACTAAAAGGTTCATAATATCACTGCCCCACTGGATCTGACTTTAATTGTTGCTTGAAATAACACTTCTCACAGTATGCTGTGACCAAGGCCTTGAGCAAAGAGGGCCTTCAGTGAATAGATGACATTATTATTATTTTTTTTTAATTAAAGGGTCAAATTAATATATTTTCTAAACCGTCTCTGTACTGTAGGTCTCACTATGTATGCGCTCAACTTTATTACTACGCGGCGGTGTATAGCTGAGTCACAGCCCCACCCTCACTCATGTCACATTTTGTCACGTGAGCAGAAAAAATTGATGGTGCCGGTAGCCAAACGCCCAGTGGGGCTGCGAAAAGAAATACAGAGAAGAGAGAATAGCGGCTGTCATCGTAGTTTCTACACCTGACATATCTCACGTCGACCGATTAACTTTTGTTTTCCGATTTGTGAGTGAGAAAGGAAAAGTTATTGAGAGATTTATTGGATTTGAACCCATTCATAGTCACACTGGGTCAAGTCTGGCTGACTGTGTGATGAAGATGGTCATTGATATGAGGCTGGATCTCTCAAACTGCCGTGGCAACGCATGACAACGCATCCAACATGTCAGGAAAATATAATGGACTGCAAGCTCATCTCAAGAAAAGCAACCCACTCATACATTACATTCCGTGTGCAGCACACTCCTTGAATTTGGTTGGTGACAACTGTGTTGAAAATAGTTGTCGTGAAGCAAGCCAGTTTTTTGATATACTTCAAGCACTTTATGCTTTTTGCTCTGCTTCTACCCACCGATGGAATAAAGTGTTCACTGAAAACGTCACAGTGACGCTAAAATCTCTCTCCTGTACAAGATGGAGCTACAGAGGAGACTCCACAAGAGCTCTTTGTGAGAATTACACTGCAATAAGAGGGGCTTTACAAATGTTGGCGGCTGATGATGAAGAGCGTCAGGACACACGGCGAGAGGCCTCTGCGCTGTGTGGCAAACTTGGGAAACTAGAGACTGCTCTGCTGACAATATTTTTGGGACACTGTACTGCACCAATTCAAGCTTACGAGCACTGGCTTGCAAAAGAAAGACATTGACCTAATGACCGCTGTGCTACTTTTGGAATCGCTGCGCACTTATGTTGCATCACATTTTCGGACTTTGAGACATCTGCCCGGGCCGTCACCGGCGTGACACAAACATACCAGCACGAGACTCACCGTGTTGGTAAAAGACGAGTATTTGATGATGAGACAGTGGAGCACGAGGTGGCACTGACTGGCAGGAGCTGATCCAGTTTAGGGCTTTTGCACAGCGCCAGATAAAACTCCTGCAAACAGACTGCAGGTGGGGCTTAAACATGGACTACAGACAACATTCCCCAATGTTTTTGTTGCGCTCAGGATTTTTCTCACACTGCCTGTGACCATCTGCGAGGGTGATAGGTCCTTTTCACGGCTTAAACGCATCAAAAATGAACTTAGGACAACCATGGCTCAGGAGAGACTTTCAGCCCTTTCTTTGATGGCCATCGAGTCTCATCTTGTGAGGGATCTGGATTTTGATGACCTAATCACAGACTTTTCAAAGAGAAAGGCAAGGAAGAAACACTTCTAAAAGTTAAGATCCACTGTCTCTCATACACACTCATTCACTCTCTCTCTCTCTCACTCACACACGCACACACGCACGCACGCACGCACACACACACACACACACACACACACACACACACACACACACACATTATCTTCCATCATATCCTGATCACTTAGTTGAGCAACCACACCATTTCACTACATATTTTACTTTTGTAACTTTCAATGTTTGTAACTAATACAACTCCTTGTGTACTTGTACAGCCAGCCAGTCATGTTTTGGCATTAAGTGGGGTGCTGTTCTGAGGTTTTGAGTGATATTACCTAGGTATTCCTGGGCCATACACTGTCTTGGGATCTTATCCATTGTATCTTTGTCTTGTGATTGTTGACTAAAAGGGCAAAAGGCTAGACCTACTTTGGTTGAACTATGTGGCTGCGTCCCTGCTTTTGACAAATAGGTGTGCAATTTGACATGCCAGATTGACTGAAAATTCTAAATATTGGTCATGTTGGTAGGATTGGGTAGGCGTGGTGTTACTTGTTGGTACGTGGGTTGGGGGGGGGGGCCATGAGCGCTCAGTGCCCAGGGGCCCCTGGCCTTGCCTGCAGGTTTCAATATTGCTCTCGCGCGAGTGCCGTTTTAGTGCTCGCGAAAATAACATACGTCCGCGGCTGCCAGGCCCGGTTCCAGAACAAAATGACTCGGGGTGCATCTGAGATTAGAGAGGGTGTAGTGGTAAAGTGCTATTTTTACAAGTGGGGAGTGGACCTAACACCCTCTAGGGGGGTCCTCACCTCCTCTAGGAGGGTCCTCACCTCCTCTAGGGGGGTCCGGGGGCATGCTTCCCCGGGAAGATTTTTTTTTAAAACTTTTTCACACACACACACACACACACACACACACACACACACACAAACACACACACTATCTTCCATCACATATACTGATCACTTAGTTGAGCAACCTCACCATTTCACTACATATTTTACTTTTGTAACTCTCAATGTTTGTAACTAATAAAACTCACTTACTTGTACAGCCAGCCAGTCATGTTTTGGCATTAAGTGGGGTGCTGTTCTGAGGTTTTGAGTGATATTACCTAGGTATTCCTGAGCCATACACTG